TTAACGTTACCTTAGCCAGGCTGAACTGATTAGCTGGAGGAACCGAGAGCACACCTGGATGATGTAACGCCTCACGGGTGTTGTGTGCTTCATGCAGATCCTGGTGGCAAACTTCCTGGCTCAGACCGAAGCGCTGATGAAGGGAAAGACTCCGGACGAGGCCCGGAAAGAGCTGGAGGCCGCCGGCATGTCGGGAGATGCTCTGGAGAAGCTGCTGCCGCACAAGGTAAGAGCGCACACCTGGACACACCTGTGTGTGACCATCAGAGTAGAAACAGTCAGGTGACTGTACAGCGTGTCGACGTTCCAGCGTTTAAATGATGTTTTTCTCTGCAGGTGTTTCTGGGGAACAAGCCGAGCAACTCGATCGTTTTCAAGAAGCTCACCCCGTTCATACTGGGAGCTCTGGTCGGTGAGTACTGGCTTTTTAATCAAACGTGCTGCTGTGGGCGGAGTCACTGCAGGTGATCTCCGGTTACTGTAAACTTCAGTTGCACCAATAACGTCTCAGGTGGAGGAGTCTGACACAGCTGTGTTGTTCTTTCAGCCATGTACGAGCACAAGATTTTCGTCCAGGGCGTCATGTGGGACATCAACAGCTACGACCAGTGGGGGTGAGTCACACCTGGGCGGGGCTAAACTCGGGTTTAAGGTAGATTAAGCTTCCACGTTTGGGTTTTATTTTACAATTAAACATATTCATTTTTAAAAAAATTTTTAACGATCTTGAACGGTCACTTTGCTGCCACTAATAGACCTCCATACGTTCCCTTTTTTAAATAACTTAACCCTTTAGAGCCGGTCGGAGCGGGCACGCTCTGTTTTGCGCAACTATTTTTAAATTATTAGAAGACAGGGGCATTGGTACACTTTTATTTACAAAGCTATGCTTGGATTGCTGCCTCCTTATATTTGTACTTTGGTCACAAGGACAAATAGTGGTTCTTACTCCTTGCGCTCAAATGATCAGCTGCTGTTGTCTGTTCCCCTTGTCCGCACAGAGCTGGGTAAGAAAGCCTTTGTCCACTCTGCGCCTTTTTCATGGAACATGTTACAGAAAGACTGGAAACTAACTGAATTGTTGTCTTTAAATGTTTTTAAAACTAAACTCAAAGGCCTACAGGCTGCCTCAATAATGTGTAATTGTTTTGTGTAATTTTAACTTTGTTTGTTCGTATGTATTTGTCTTGAAATGTGCTGCCTCTTGGCCAGGACTCCCTTGAAAAAGAGGTCTTTGATCTCAACGGGACATTCCTGGTTAAATAAATAAATAAAATAAAAAATCCCGGCAGCACTGCAACCACGTAAGCTAGCACAATATTTTTTATTTTTTTTTGCATATGAAACCGGAGGAGTTGTACTTACATCTGATGCCATCAGCTTGTCCTCGGTCACAGTTTCCTTCCACATATAGCTTTGCAAAAACTGCATAAAAAGCACTTGCAGCAACAAAAACATAATATTCCAGAAACACGCTTTGCCGATCCGATCAGCTGTTCATAACACTTCCTACGTCCATCAGCGCGAACTTTTGCATGTCCGCCATGTCCTGCCCGAAACCGGAAGTGACGTCATTTTCGCGGAAATGTAGTTTTTTTTTTTTGTTTTTTTTTTTTTTTTTTTTTTTACCATCAGGGCCTCATGAGCCTATACTGGTGTTTTTAAAAGTTATGTTTGACTTTATGACTTTCTGTGTCGTTTCTGGGATGCTTAGGACTCATATTGCACTGCTGGAAATAGTTTATTTTGATGCATATGCTGCTTTTTTGCAAATTTGCATTATAATATTTATTTTCGTTTTTCCTGCAGTATATGAAAATTGGTGTATTTCAAAAATAAAACTATGAAGACACTCAAAATAAATTTCCTGTGGTGGGAAACTAGTTTGTGCACCTTTTTTGTATTTGCAGTTTTGAGGGATAAACCTCTTAAATTTCTCTAACTACAAATATATGTTAAAAAAGCAAAAACGATTTTCAATTTTTTTGTAGTTTATTGCACTTTTTTTGCAATTTATGTAATTACTATGCACTTAATGCAGACATATTATTAAAATCTGGGCTATAATTGTTGTATTGATGTATAGCAACTTGAAATGCTCCCGAAAATGGCTCCACAGCATGTAAAAATATAATATAAGCTCTGGCGGACTTGGTTCTATGGTAGGTCTTAAAGGGTTAAAGTTGTTGGGTTTTTTGTATTTAAATTAAAACAATGAATTTTCACTGTATTTATTTTATCACGTCTTAAAACATGTATTCAGAAGTGCTTACTCTTCATCGTGACTCCGTCTTAGTCTAGTTTTACATGTTTTCATTTTGTGCTTATGTCAGGTAACCTTGAGGGTCTTTAAAGGCGCCTTTTATTATTATATATCCAGTTGTTCAGTGATGACGTGACGAATCCTACTTCCGGGTCTAAAGTAGTCTGCGTTTAATATGGCTTTTGTGTTGTTAACATGTTTAATGTTTTGTATTTTCTTCTATTTGATCTCAAAAGCTCCTAAAACAGTCAGTGATCACTGTTGACCTCCCCCTTTTATTACCACTAATCATTTATTTAAGCTCAGTTTTTAAAACCTTAGGATGTAACTACAGCCCAGCCCATGCAGCAGTATATGAATGACTAACCTCGTATTGTGGATGGATTATCTCAGTTGTTCTCCTGGCTGAAGTTTGGTCCTTTTACAGCATTCTGCCATGCGATTACATTTGTTCCTGACCACCGAGAACACTCACGTTAACTTTTATCGAGTGGAAAAAAAGTTAGCTTGTTCATATTATGCTAACATAGCTGTGTCACTAGCGGTCACGTAGCACATCATTATATAGCAGCTAGCCCAACTTCAGTAACCCTACAAACGTCACTGCTGTTTAGTTTTCTGTCTTCATTTATGTTGGAAGTGATAACAGAGCTGTACGTTTGAATTTGTTTCCAAAACCCCGCAGTCAGGACATGCTATATTGTATTTAGATAGAAGCTAGCGAGCTAACTTCCTGCTAACTTCTAACTCCGTTAAATGTCATAAATTCCGTTTTCATGGATGCCTGGATGTTAAACTCAATTGTTACACCTGGTAGAGCAGAACACTGATCATTTTATTAAAGATGAAAGACTTTAGACAGTTTTTCAACTCTCAGTAATGCCATAGTGATCGTTTGATATATGGACCTGCAGCGGAGTTTAGGCCCAGACACGGCTAGTGACGTCAGAATTAAAGACCGGATTTAGTCAAACTTGCCTCATTGGTACCAGCGGTCTTCCGTACGTTTCCCTTACAAAATAATTGTTGTTGACCAACCAGCGTTGCTGTGTAAAGTTGTGTTGCTGACCCGCCTCTTTCCGCCACAGGGTGGAGCTCGGGAAGCAGCTCGCCAAGAAGATCGAGCCGGAGCTGAAGTACGACTCGGAGGTGACCTCCCACGACTCGTCCACCAACGGCCTCATCAACTTCCTGAAGAAGAACTTCGCCTGAACGTTGAGCCCGCGTTAGCCGACCTCATCCTCCATCCTCATTGGCTGAATGATGTTTGTCTTGTCGTACGCTGTGAGCACTTCCTGTCTGTTATCTGTGTGCTAAGAGTCTTCACGTGTAGACGAGTCCTGAAAACGTACACGTTTGTGTAGGTGACCATGCCCAGTCAACTGTGACTTTCAAAATAAAAGCCTGTTTGTCGCCAATGCTGTGTTTGGTTTCATTGTGAGGTCACAGGAAATGCTTCTGTCCAATCAGTGAGCTTGTTTAAAGGAGAAGTCTGCTTCAGCAGTCAGGTAATTACTGATTACTGATCAGGTGTGATGTTGGACTGGCCTCGCTGGACGACGGGGGGGTGCTGAGCTGAAGCCTCGCGCTGATGTTTGGGGCGGGACGAGGGAAATGCTGTTGGCGCTGCACAACAAGGCCGTGCTGGTGACACATGAGCAACAGGTAACGCACACCTGTAATGCTCACTGGTGCTGATTTTACACACCTGCTCTGAACTTATCATCCAATCAGAGGTCAGCAGTACCTATGCAAAGCAAATTTAAACTCTTCTGTGACAGAGCGTGGTGACTCACAGCCAAACGACCGTTTTAAACCTTTTCTGGTGGAACAAAAGCACCTGATCCCAGTTCAAACAGGTGAGTTATGACACAGCGTGTACAGGCGTTCAGTTCCTGCGTCAGCCGGCGAGCATGTTTATTTTAACATGACTCACTGCAGAGCCTCTAGTGGACATCAGGGGAACTGCAGGTGTGGAAGCGATGAAGGGTGCTGAGTCTTGACTTCCTGAAGTTGAACAGTTGTTATTAAGACGTTTAAGATAAAGTAGGATGATTTTGATCTGGATCAAGCAAAGGTGCTCTTATTTTAAAGCCCTAATATTGAATGAACTCTTTAAAGCCTGCTAGGAGTTTAACGTTTGTGTGGAGCAAACATTGATTAAAAACAGCCGCATGCCTGCTCCGACCTCCGTGCACAAATGCATCGTTTGTGCTTCAGTGAGCGCCAGCCCGCTCAGACTGGACGAGCAGGAAGCGATCAGATTTCTGATGGCTGCGCTCCAACTGGCACTCAGTTTACCCTCAAGGGTTTTTTTGCACTAATAAAGTGGAGTAAAGTATTTTGTCAATTATATCATCAGTTATATCGTTATTGCAAATTTTCAAATGTATATCGTGATATTTTTGGTCATATCGCCCTGCTCTAATTACCAGGCCTCTGCAGAACTTCAACACATGCTGATGAGGCCGTTTAAATCAGCTGTGCTGGATCAGGGACATGTCTAAGACCTGCAGGACACCACCTCGAACAGACTGTAGTTAAGAGGACAGGCTGCACAGTGGGAACATGGAGCTGTCGTGTTGCTGCCATCCGATTACAAACAGGCTCGTATTCTTATTAAAGATGTTCGTTTAAGTGGAAATATCTGAATTACACATTATCCTGAGCTTTTTGATCAGGGTTGAATTTATTCTGAAATAAATAACTGAAAGTTAAAACATCAATAACTCAAAGGTACAATTTTACTTTTATTTTGAAATTTTAATTTATCCAAACTTCATGTGACTCTGAAATTATTTTCAGTTTGAAGTTTTCTAATTATTTCCATATATTTACGTTTATATTTGTTAACACTTTACGTTTCTAAGCCGTCATCTCTAACTGGTTTCCTCTCAGTCACCTTTGGGAACGAGGGGGCCGCCACTCGCCGCGGAGACGAGCTTCTTGCCACCTTCTCCTCCATGGCTCGGGCGGAGGAGACATCTACGCGGTGTTCTGGCCCGGATGTCACGGCAGTCAGCCGAGGATCCGTCTCCCGTGGCGAATGCCGTATGTCACGCTCTGCTGGCAACCCGGCCCAGACCGTTGTACGTTCATTGACCGCCGCCATGTTCGACCCGTTTTTAAACACACCAACTGTCAGGCGGCGGAGCTTCAACACTCGAGCTTAAACGAGACACTCTGAAATAAACACATCCTCCATCTTTTATTTACAGTCTGTGTTTTACTTCTTCAGAGGTCTGAACTAACCTTCACCTCCTCATGACGAGCAAACAAGTGGAGGAGGCGTGGCTTTAAACACCCCTCAGGTGAGTCACATACAGAGTTAAAAAACAAACAGGGAATAAACATGCAGCTCTCAGGAGCTCTGAGGCTGCTCGTGTCCTCCTCGTGGAATAAAAGCAGGATGTATAACATCCACACAGCTGCTGCTCCACGCCAGCCTCACGTCTAAAAACATCTGGAGCGCGAGCGTCTTCAGTCCTGAGGCTTCACGAATGCTCTCTTCGCCGCCTCGTGGTTCTCCTCGTCCGCCTCCTGCGCCACTCGCTCTCGCTTCGTTGCAAACTTCTTCTTCATGCTTCCAACTAAACTCTCGTACCTGCCAAGAAAAACAGCAGATGAGAGCCTCGCCTCACGCACTGTGTGTGTGTGTGTGTCTGTAATGAGCTACAGTAGGAACACGCAGCGCTTCAGCATCAGAGGGAAACAGTTCGTACCTCAGAGCCATTTCTTCATCTGTGACATCTGTTTGCATCCGGCTCAGGTCCTCCTCTTCCTCCTCCTCTTCCTCTCTGGGGTTCATCAGAGCCATCAGCTTCTGCAGGGACACACAGGACGGTTCCAGTTTAAATGCTGCAGAGCAAACACTCAGAGAGACTCGTCGTCCTGGGGTCAGGAGTCAGGGGGTAGGACAGAGGACCCAGGGTGAGGAGTCAGGGGGTAGGACACACCTGAAGCCTCCAGGTGACAGAGGCAGGGTCGTACTGGGATGCTTCTGCTGCAGTTGTACAGCTGAGATCTTACAGCAATATTTAAACATGAATAAAACAGCTGGTCGTTTCCATGGTAACCTTCAGTCAGACAGTCCCTGCTGGTTTAAATCGAGGCTGATTATTGTTAAAAAAACGAAGAACAAACTGATGTTTCTTAGCTCTGTGTCCTCCCAAACACAGCAGTCAGGTAATCTGACACTCCGCGAGGTCAGGGGTCAAAATAAAAACAGGAAGTGGGCGTGAAATGACACACACCTCAACTTCAGGATTGAAGCCTCTGAAGGAGAGTCGGCCATACTTCAGATCCTCGCAGGGAACGAAACTCCTCTCCTCGATGATCAGGTTCCTGCAGGAGCAGAGACGCCACAGTATTAAGAACACCTCCAGAATAACATCATCCGCCTCCATGATCACATGACCTCTGACCCCTAAGTACTTAAATCACACTTCACTGTGTTCAGACTTCAAACTAGACTCCATTCAGAAAACTGCACATTAAGCAGCTGCATGAAGAAAGTCCTTTAACGACGGTGCGGCGAGGCTGTTATACTCCTAGAGTATTTAAAGTAGAATGGGAGGCAGAGCCTTCAGTTTTCAGGCCCCTCGTCTGTGGAACCAGCTTCCAGTTTGGATTCAGGAGACAGACACTATCTCTACTTTCAAGATTAGGCTTCAAACTTTCCTTTTTGCTAAAGCATATAGTTAGGGCTGGACCAGGTGACCCTGAATCCTCCCTTAGTTATGCTGCAATAGACGTAGACTGCCGGGGGATTCCCATGATGCATTGAGTTTTTCCTTTCCAGTCATCTTTCTCACTCACTATGTGTTAACAGACCTCTCTGCATTGAATCATATCTGTTATTAACCTCTGTCTCTCTTCCACAGCATGTCTTTATCCTGTCTTCCTTCTCTCACCCCAACCAATCACAGCAGATGGCCCCGCCCCTCCCTGAGCCTGGTTCTACTGGAGGTTTCTTCCTGTTAAAAGGAAGTTTTTCCTTCCCACTGTCGCCAAAGTGCTTGCACATAGGCTCGTATGTATTATTGTAGGATCTACTGTACAATATAACGCACCTTGAGGCGACTGTTGTTGTAATTTGGCGCTATATAAATAAAATTTAATTGAATTATACATTTTGCTTGAACTAAAGTGGGCGGAGCCTGAATGACGCTCATACGTACTCTTTAGCCTTGAGCTCGGGTAGGTCCAGGTACCAGTGCTCATCACTGATGATCCTCCGCTCGTCCTCCTCCAGCTGCTTCTTCGTCTCTGCATCCAGACGTCTCTGCATGAACTGTGGACACACACACGTCACCTTCAGCTGACGTTTCTGTGAGGTTTTAACCACACCTGCGCTCATGAATGATTTACTGCACTCAGCTGTGATTGGCTGAGGTCTCCCTGCAGAGAACCACAGCTGTTTTTCTCAGTGTGAAATCTTCCACATCTGCAGACCAGATTTTTAAAGTAAAGGTGAAAATCAGCTGAGAGGGTTTCATTCTGATTGGTCAAGGCATCAGGCCCCAGAAACATCTTCTCCACGTTGGTTCAGCCTCCCCAGGAAACAAACCAGCACCCTGTAGGTTGTAACCGCCCCCTGGATGTCATATCCGGTTCTGATACAGTTTTTAAAGCATGAATTTCAGCCGTTGTTCCCATTATTAGTGACGTAAAACAAATACCTGAGCATCCACACCGGTTCAGATTCGCATCACGTGACAGATCATTTTAAAGTCAGAGCTTCTCTTTAGTGTCTCATACTCATACACACATTATTTATTAATAAATTACATTTACAGCCTGTTATTAACTCTGCTGAACGCCGATTTACTCTCCAGGTCACACTTGACATCAGGTAATAAAATTTAGCTTCTGTGTGAGATTTAAAACTTCATGTGAAGCAGAAAACCTTAAATCATCAGATTTCTGAGTGGAGTTATGCGCCGGCGCATTACAAAGCTAACGTTCTGCTAGCTATCGGCTGCTAGCTGCTCTCGCGTGTCCGTTAGCACGCGCAGCTTCACTCACCTTCATCCGCAGCAGGTTTTTGGACAGCTTCACCGACTCACTCGCCATCTTTAATCCAAGAGAATGCGGCTAACCGAACCGGAGGACCCTCGGTGCTGCACACCGAGCTAACGCCACGCTAAACAGAGGCAGAAAGAACCGAGCGCCGAGCTGCTTCTCCAGCCCTGCTAATCGAGCTCTGATGTGCAGCCCAGGGGCGGATCTAGAGAAATTTTCTTAGGGTGGCAAAGAAATCAAATGGGGTGGCAAAATCAAAGCCTTTTCCCCCCAAACACTCATGCAGGTGGTTACATGTGGTTAAATGATTCAAATGCAGTAAGTATGCACGTTTTTCATATAAATATAGTCGATAACTTAATTATTGTCTGTAGCCCACATGATTACACACTTTAGTTACATAAAACATGTGAGTTTTGATGCTATGTACTGTATAGCCTGTATGATAAATAAATATGTAGCCCAATAAGTATAAACACTAGAAAGCTACACAACATGGGGCGCTTCATTTACAAACACAAGTCTAACTTAAGTTTCACTGTTTTTGTTAGAAAACAGTCACATTGTTGCAGCTTAAATTACACAAAATGTCAGAAATCTGCACCGTCATGAACAAACATGTAAACCTCATTTTTCATGATTTGTTGGATGAACCCTGAGGTCTGAAATACAACCGGACATTTGTGACTCCTTTGAGTTTACGTTGTTTATGTCCAACACAGACATGTTGGGTAAATGTTTATAACTTGAAATGCAAATATAAAACGTACATTTTATAAACATAAACAACTATTTATCTAAAAATGCAGCCAATACACCGTTTGTTTCATTTTCTACAACCATTTAAAAATATTACTAAAACTAAAATGAGAGAACAATCAGGTGTGGCAATAAGATGCCCCACAAATGATGTGTGCCAGTAAAAAACAAGTTTGTCCACCAAAAGACAAAAGAGCACAGGGACAAACCTGCAGGCCCGACAACAGCAGGTGTATCACTCCGCTGGTTTTCTACTTAGTGACAGTGTTTACGTTGCAAATGTGCCTCTGACAGTCATTAGTGCCCTCACTGACACACTAAGCAAAACGACTACACAACAGAACGACTACACAACACACTAAACGTCACAAATCTGCCACATCTAAACTCTCTCTCTCTCTCGCTCTGTCTCGCTCGCCCTGTTACCGTCACTCCCCAAACTTTTCCCTCTTCCTAAACAACCAAATCCCACATGTTGACTTTTTTTTAATTGGTCGACATGGTGCATTTTTCCACCAATAAGAAAGAGGTGGCTTTTTTCCTTTCTTTCCTGTTTTCGTGCTGTCCTTACAAAACGCTTAAAACACACACGTGACGACAGTATTTAGAACGAAGCGTGGCTGATATATATATGATCATAACTCTGGATTTACTGGCCTGTAATTAAAATTTAAAAACTTTGAAGTCCGAACTTTCAATGTGGCTGAAACAGAGACTCAGCGTGGCTGCAGCTTGTTGCTGTGTCAGCTTACATCAGTCATGTGATCTGGGGCCCGTTCTTCGTACGTCGCTTACTACATCCAAGATCAAATCATCGCGCTAACCGTGAGCTCGCTAATCCGGTTCTCCGAACACACCTGCTGTTGACGATTAGTACAGCTGGATGAAGTAATGTGAGATCACTGGGTGTCGTAAAAGGGGCTACGCATCGATAGTAGAAACATTGATCGGCAACCCTCTGATTGGTCGGCGAAAATGTCGAAGGTGTGCGCTCGGTATTTTTCGGCAGCAGAGCAAGAACTCTTGAGTGAGGGATTTCAGGAGTTTCAGAGTTTAATCAGAACGCAAGGGAACACTGCAAAGGCTGCAAAAGCAAGGAGAGAGGGCTGGCAGGAAGTTGCTGACAAATTAAACTCGTAAGTAATTTAATAATAACAATAATAATGGAGTGGATTGATATAGCGCTTTCCAAGGCACCCAAAGCGCTTTACAATGCCACTATTCATTCACTCTCACATTCACACACTGGTGGAGGCAGCTACAGTTGTAGCCACAGCTGCCCTGGGGCAGACTGACAGAAGCGAGGCTGCCATATCGCGCCATCGGCCCCTCTGGCCAACACCAGTAGGCAAGTAGGGTAAATTTATTATATTATATTACATGATATCCTCTTTCACATTAGAGCCACAACAGGACCCACTAGAACATGGGAACAAGTAAAAGTGAAATATAAGAATATTCTACAGAATGGTAATATTTATCACTTATATTGCTTTTCGTCTCTTGGAAAGAGACCCTGAAATAATCTGTTTGTTTATAACAGCAACCAAGAAAAGGGCAGAGCAAAAAAAGACAGGTGGTGGTCCTGCACCCCCTCGTCAACAAGTTGGTTAAGTGAATAATACCCTCACGGGAATATCGATATCTCTCTATGAGCACACTGTCGCACTGAGCTAAAGGATCCTGTCTGTCCCGCAATATACGCTGAATTCTGAGGACTCTCCTTATCAATCTTGCACCTTCCGCAATGGGTTGCTCGCGTAAACGGACAGGACATGGCTGCGACAGACTTCCCAAATCCACCTTCGCTTTTATAGCCGTGGTCTCTCATCTTGATTACACGAAGTAATTTACAATTACTACTCTGAAATATGACTTACATCTGTAATAATCACATACATGTAATAGAATGTTAATAGTACATTTCCCTTTTTTAGGAAATGACCTGTATGTATCTGTGTGAAATCAATAAAAGGATCAAGTGCTGCATTATCTTCAGTTACATTGATGTTATTTATTTATGGTGAAACAGTGGTGGAATATCGCTGTTGTTTTCGTATAAATGAAGCGGACATACCTGCGTGGCCGCGATCTAATCCTGTTTACATAAAGTAAACCTGCTCCCGAGCAGGTTTACGCTTACGGCTCTGTTGCTATGGCAGCAAGTCCCGGATGAGCTTCGGGGAACCGAACGATCCAAGATCACGCGAAATCGTCAACAATCTAATCCAGCTAACCTACTTAGCGAGGTACGAAGGACGGACCCCTGGAGGTGCAGCGTGTCCGTGGACCACAGAGGGTTAATAACACTCACCTTCCTTCCATTTCCACAGTGTAACATCCACCCACCTGTGTAAAATCCAAAATTCCCATGGTGTTGTTCAAAATGTGCTCTGGCACGATCATGAGCATCGCTTGCTGCTGAAAACAAGAAAAAAGCCGGTCCTGCTATGGGCTGAACCATTTGTTACTGGTGCAGGGGGGGGGACACTATGCAGTATATTCAGTTTTAGCATTTATATTCACTGCTGACTGTAACTACGCTCAAACTGTTAATGCTGTCTTATTTTAATAAACAACACTGTCATATGCAAAACTGGGGTGGCAAGGGATCATTTTAGGGTGGCACTTGCCACCCCATGCCACCCTTCTAGATCTGCCCCTGGGTGGCATGGAAATCAAATGGGGTGGGAAAATCAAAGCCATTTCTTTATACATATGCAGGTGTTACATTCTGTAATATGCATTATAAATGGTTAAAATACATCAAGTGCAGTATAAGTAAACGCATGTTTTATATAAACATTCTTCTTATTTTCTCAAACTACATAATTAAACATCTCAGTTACATAAAACAACTCCAGTTTGGAATTTATGTACTGTATCCACCATATAATAAATAAGCATGTAGCATAATAACTATAACACACAGAAAGCTACACAACATGAGGAGCACAAAGTCAAAGTAAACTTTATTGTTATCTCTGCTATACACAGTACAGTATATAGAAAGACGACACAACGAGGGCTGTGAGTTCGAGAGTCCGATGGCTTGCAAGAAAAAGCTGTCATGCAGTCTGGAGGATCAGGCCCGATGCTATGATAGCGTCTGCCGGATGGAAGGAGAGAAAAGAGTCCATGTGAGGGGTGTGAGGGGTCAGGCACGATGCAAGAGGCCTTACTGATGCAGCACACAAGATGTCCTGTAGCAGAGGGAGAGATGTTCCGATGGTCTTGGCAGCTGTTTTAACTACAAGTTTCTGACAATGACAATAAAGACATTCTATTCACACTGCTTTTATTAGAAATAATCAAACTGTTACATGTTACTACACACTAACTACACACTAACTACACACTCCAAGAACACTAAATGTCACAAATCTCTCACATGTCAGAACTTCCTATTGATGTCGTCTTGCCGTCGTCACATCCAAAGCTTGCCTCTCTCCCCAAACAACCAAATGCCATATAATTTTTTGATTGGTCGACATGGTACATTGTTCCACTATTCATTGCTAATTGTAGAAAGGCTCAAATTCCAAATAAAGAACATTATCATATGCAAAACTACGGCAGCAAGAGATTGTTTTAGGGTGCCACCCCAGTAGATCCGCCCCTGCTGCAGCACCAAGTTTATCAATAATGATCAATAATACTTTAAGGAGTCTGTATCTGTATGCTCATTTATATCCTATCTATCAATCCCTAAATGTGATCAGCTCCTGATCCTTGGACTCACCTCTCAGGAATCTAAAGCCCCTTCTCCATTAGTACCTACTTGGATTGACTCGACACGGATCGACTGGTTTTCCATTACAATCAAGTACCTCCTAATGTTCATGGTCGTTGTCATACGTTTTTTTTTTTACATTTTTATGTTCCCCTAAAAAGGTCCAGGGGGTGAGGGGAAATAACGAAATGTGTCCGGGTCAAAAAAAGGAGACAGCAAGACAAAATGGTTAAATTAAAGAGTTTTAGGGGAGTCACATGATGGAGCGTTTGGGAATGGCCGCGCCATAGAGAGTCTCTGACCCCCATCGATCCTACATTAGTTTTAAAACAAGGTAAACGCTCCCAAATAATATATTTCCTCACTGCGGTGACTTGCTAGATCAGTGTCCTTGGATTTATTGAGAGACATGGCCACAGGAACTAAGAAGAAGAGCGTGCAAACCCGAATCTCCACGGTGGCGGCGGGGGAAAGTAATGCTAGCAGTGCCAAGGTTAGCCCTGCTAGCCAAGAAGAAGGGCCAAAGATGGATATAAGCGGCCTGTTTGCCGAAACGACTAAGCTTGGAACTATCCTAACTAGTGTTGCGGCCGATGTATCTCACATCAAGTCAGATATGGTGGAATTTAAAAACGCTATAAGTGCAATCCAAATACGGATGACCGAAGCTGAGGGCCGCATTTCAGATGTGGAAGACAAAATGAGGAGCA